GGCTATTGGCCCTCATCAGCCACAGGCAGCCAACTCTAGTGTAGCAGCTGAACTTGTCGCCAGTCATGACTATTTAAGGAGCAGATAAAGAAACGTAATTCAGTCCGGGTGAAAGTTTTCCCTGCCTTTCTTAATCTAACCCAGTTGATTAGGAAAACAAATTATACATGTCAAAATGTTGAATCGCAGAGAAAGTCTCTGTAGGGGCTCCACAGGTTTAGAAATGAAACATAACCCAACAACCGTCAAGTTAAGACCGAGCTAGTCGAAATAACTCGGGATGGCGTTCCGACTGGAGAGGCTTGACATCTGTAGGACGTTCAGGTTGTTCGTTGCATCTAATACAACAGTCAGTACTCGGGAATATAGCAAGCAGACAAGGTTCCTCACGGTGTAAGCGAGTGGATTTAATGGCGTGTACTGTAGGTTAGGTTTTTTAAATGTCAGGCAAGCGAGAAAGCGACATTTTTAATCATGATTTATGTTGGTTTGTAACGAATACGTTTATAGAGTGGATGGAGGGACGAACATACTTGAGCGCGTTTACTGATTGTGCTTTACTGACCATCATGAAGTTGATGCAAATTACGCGACCTTGTCTCCTCGCCGGGCTATAGGCATTTGTCGAACTCGGAGTACCGATATCTGCACTGAAAACTCTGTTGGCAACGGTTTCCTATGTAACCCCAGTCACAAACTAAGAGGAAAGAGCGCCGCAATATGGGAATGGTGGTGGTAAGAAGTTTTTGGCTGTGGCCACAAGAAACGGTGTGCAACATTTTCCGCGAGGGAGATGAGCAACAATTGTATTTACACTGGTATTTTATCTACGTGCACCAACAGCCAGTGAAACCCACGCGCGTAATCTCCAAACTTTAACCCCAAAACCCCTACCTTCAGCCGTAACCCTAAGTTTAAAACTGTCATCTTAACCTTCAAAACCTAGACCCTGCCCTTAAAAACATGCTCTAAAATCCTAACTCTAACCATAACCCCCCTACTCCAAAACTCAAATCCTAAATTTGGCACCCTAAAGCTAACGCTACACTTAGAACTCTGACCTCTCATCCTAAAATTAAATCCCTGTAGCCAAAATTGTCTAATCCTAACTCTAACCATAACCGCTACTATCAATTGTGCAAAAGTTCCCAAAAAATATTCTCCTGAAGGTGGGGCCACATACTATGCCCTCACCGACCTGCTTCCTGAATGCGAAGAATAAGACGCTAACCTCTGGGAAGCAATGTATAGGGAAAATACCCACATTCCTCCAATAGCACTAGATCGACTGTGTTCACTACGGTAGCTTAGAATGACACACTTAGAGATGAGGAGAATAATTATTGTCATCAGTGGCCTGGTTTGATTCGGGATACAATTCGTTGTGCCCGGAAAAACTTGCTTCTCAAAGCGTTTTCCTGAATGCTTTTTAATCTCAATAGGGTCAGAAAATGTGTTTTACCCTGGGCGACCAAGTTTCTTATCGTTCCCCGAGTCCGTAGATTTCACCCAACCCATTATCTCGGTAAATCGATGAGTCATTCATTTGATCCACTTGTGGAAAGCTCGGTGAGTTCGCTGAGATGCGAACCACAGCCAACGCTCTAGTCAACTTAGCTATGAGGTGCCCAGAGGGCCTCCTGAATTTAATCACACTTGGGTCGATTTACCCGCCAACCTACTGCAACACATGGATTCAACAAATTCTGGTACTGCCGAAGCAGAATTTCTTAAGCAGTCAATCTAGAATCCACCCTGACCAGGTGGCAGCCTAGGCGGGATTCGAACTCACGTTGAAAGCTTTAGTGTGATTAAACTCATGGCCCAGATGGCAGCCACGCAGCTCAATTGTCTAGAGCGTTGGCTGTACTAAAGCTCCTTCCCTACTCTCGTGGATTCGAATCCCCACAGATGGGGTTGCCA